CGGAGGTATATAGCCCGGAGTGTATCGCGAGCTTTACAGGCGTAGTTTGCTGCCGGCCATCCAGAAATGGAGTTGGTTTCGCCGGTTAAGATACGATCGGGCACACATCCTCGCCGCAACCGCGTCGAGAAAAACGCCATAACTTCGAGTCGTATATGGCGGCAATGCACAGGTGCATGCCACCGTGCATCTACCTCCCTCCGTCCCCTCCCTCCTCCTCCTCCTCCTCCTCCTCCGGCCGCCACCAACGGCCCCGCCGCATCCAGCCATCCGCCACCCCTTCTTCGTGGACCCCTTTTCTCCTCTCCTCGATACCCTCCATCGTCGTGGACGTCGTCCTCGTCGTCGTCGTCGTCGTCGTCGTCGTCGTCCACGTCGATCGAACGCGCGTGCAGAATGTCAATTGTTCCTCTCTCCCTACCCGTGTCGCTTGTTTTCTTCGCTTCTTTTCCCCTCTGTTTTTCGCGCTCCGATCCGGCTCTCCGGCTCCCTCCCCCTCCCTCGCCGAGTGACGGGAGGCGCAGGCCGGGCCCGAACTCTTTTCCAATCTATGATCTCGTGATCGTAGGAAGAGGCTGGGTGGGACGGGGTTCGGGTACGGAGTGAGCGGAATGAAAATGGTGGAGAACGGTTTGTTTGTTGTCGGATTCGGGATCGTGGAATAAATGTACAAGAAGAAGTTTCTTAGAAGTTTCTTTACGTATTCGTGGAGATTCGCGTGAAATGATCGACTTTGAGAGTTATATTGGATTTTAATAGATTTTTCTACGAGTCGAAATTTCAAAAGAATGGAGGCGTGGTTTCATATGAGTGATTCATATCGGTGCGCAGTTCGTTTCTACGAATAAAAATTCTTCTGCAATGCAGATCTATATATGACTAATCTCCTGTTATTACTAAACCGCGGATGTTTATGCAAAATAAAATTAAAATTTGTACGTACACGCGTGCAGAAATGGATTCCTTTATATTATACTTTAAATCTTGCACGCGTATATAAATCTATATGAAAAAGAAAAAAAAGAAAAACGTATTCAACTAACAAGATTATCCTCCTTAATACCCAATTCCTCCCAATCGTTTCGATCATCCTCTCGCCGCAAAACCAATCGCTGTATTTCGACTCGAGCCATCGTAAATATAACTCTCCATCTCTTTCTCTCTCTCTCTATCGCGAATCCTGTCGCTCGCTCCGCGTCCTTTACCCCTTCTATTATCCTCTCTCTCCCCGACCGTCCGCCGCCGGTGCCATTGCTCGGTTGCCAAAGACGAGTGGTAACGAGGCGGTAAAAAATAATTAGTATGTCCGTCGACTCGTTGCTTCTAGAAATAGACCGGTCCGCATAATCGGCCGCCGATTCCGAGACCGCTTTGGAAACCTGCCGCCGGGGCTTTTGCCGAGTCCTCTCGCGAGGTGACACCGCGAGAAGGACTCGTCCATGTGTGCGGACACCACAGAGCGAGAGCCCCAGACAGCACGCGAGCGCTTTCCTCTCGGCTACGCGAGGGAATTCGCGAGATAAGAGAGCGCGTAACACGGCCGACTTGGACGCGAGCTCGTTATATCACGGTTACGGGTGTACGCGACACCTGGGCTGACGTTTATTAACCGGTGATCGAGATAATGATCTCTTATTAGCCGGGGGATCGACTAAATACCGCGGCCATCCTTTCGTAACAGAGAGAGGGTAAGTTAACCCTCTCTCTCTCTCTCTCTCTCTATCTCTCTCTATCTCTCTCTTGGAGGCAATGGTCGTCCTCGTTTCTTTCGTCAACGTTTGAACGATGCGTTCGCGAGTTGTTCAATAAACGACGATATATATCGTGGAATATAAAAAGGTTTGAGGAGAAATTATTAATCTTCTAGTTCTTTTTAATAAGTTTTTAATGATATTCTTTTTAATGATTCTCTCTTTGCTCGGAGATAAACTCAAGTATTTTCGAATATAATTTATTAACCTATAAACGTGGAAATCGTTTCCATTAACGAATGGTACGATAATATATATAATCGCTTTTACAATTAGGCTAGGAAATTTTAAACTAAACTATATCAACTAACGTTTATATTTTATATTTTAACGTTTTCAAATTTTTCTTGCAATTTCATTAATCTATTGTTTATCTTATCGCTACTAATATAACCAATCAAGCAAATGTGATATAATAAATAATGATAATACTCAGTGACTCGACACACGTGCATATATATATATACACCTATCCACTTTTTACGATTGAAAACAATTTTTTCGGGCAACCATCGGATCACGAATACAATCGGTTGAAAGGAGGAGGCGATGAAAGAGGTTGTCGAAAGGAGCGGACTTCATCGCGACGCGTGTCGCGAACACTGGCTGCTCTCCTCTCTCTCTCTCTCTCGCTTTCTCTCCCCGTTCGAGCACACGGTGAGAGTTGAATTTATGAATGAACGAAGCGAAGGGCGAGCGTGGGCTCGCCCACGCGCTTTATCATAATCGGAACCTCCTAGGCCTAGTCACGCCTGCCTGCCATAATATGCCTAGGCATAGGAGCAAGGTTGAAGCGCTCGCGAAAGCGTTTTCGAGTCGATGGACGGATGGATGGATGGATGAATGAATGAATGAATGAAACCATTCACCGATTGCGAGACCGCATCCCTCCCTCCCCCGATCGATGCTTCTCCTATTCTAATTTATTCCCGTGTTGGAGCGTGTCGTCGCGCCACAGGGAGTTCGGATCCTCCTCTTGGTCGGGGGAGGAGCACGACCCACTCTCGAGAGTTGGCTCGTGCTCTTCCTGAACTCGTTCCACGGGAAAGGTGATCGAAACGCCCGATGGAAAGAAGCGTGAATGAACGAAGGGCACGCGTGGGCGAGCTACGATCGCTGATGAAATCCACGCTACCGATGTTGCTTCTCGTTTCCTTGCTGCCGCGTTTTCCCTCGGAATCGATTCGAACGAGATCCGCCCGCTGTTCAAGACGTTTGCGAAATAGGGACTTCCTTTAGGAATGTATAGGCGTTTCTTAATCACGCGTTTCGAAGAGAGAAGAGTTTGTAAATGTAAAACAACTTGAAGTCTTTCCCCGTCTCTCTTTTAATCCGTTTCTTAATAATTGATTATTCCAGATTCTTAAAGTTGATTAAAAGGATTAAAGGAGATGGATATTCGTTTCGAAAATAATGGATTTATTAGAAGATGGGGAAAAAAAATAACAGGTTGCATCACGTTCGATCGATCCGAAACTGCATAAAATTGCGTGGCATTTGAATATTGACGTGGGTGTTGGATGATTTACACGAATCTAATTTTGCATTGCGAAGGTCGTAGTGTTTCGATTGACGAGATAAAGATCGGTTGCGACACGTCGCGAAATCACCCCGGATCCATCGTAAACAAAGGAAATGCAATTCTTCGCCAATTATCTTATGTAATGATATCCAGCGCGAAACTGGGACTGGAATGTGGAATTTTTAAAAACGAGTTATTGCGTGTTATACTACATCTTTAACTAAAAAAATAACATCGTTTGTACATCCAATTTTTCTTTTTCCAAATAAAATGGAGGAAACATTCCATAAAGATTTTCGAAGAAAAATTGTTTCGAAGGATAAGCGATAAATAATAGTCTTCGAAGATCGAAGGCAGGGTGGAAAAAAATTCTCAAGGAATTCGAGGGAGGTGACAGTTGAACGCGAGGATGAATAATAATAAATGATTGCACGGTTTTCGAGACAATGTACGCAATCCCACACAGGAATTTCAGGTGTTTCGACTAACGAGCGATTTGCATGGAACAACGAACACCAACGAGAAGGAACCAGAGCGAACCAGTTTCGAGTCGGATACATTCGTAACTCTTTGGACGCGCGTAACCCGACAGGGGCCTCGAGCCTCGCGCCCTCCCTCCCCCTTTTTCTTCCCTCGTTCCTCATCCTCGATACGGCGAAGCGAAAATACGCTAATTACGGTTTGAAACTCCCGCGTTACGACCCCTGCCTCGAGACGTTCCATTACCAACTGGCTGCGTTCGAAGGCATCTTGTAATTACGCCGATCACCATCGCTCCGATACCATCTTATTCGGCTTAGCCGAGTGGCTGCTTGCAACGAAATTACAACCGCCTCTCGAAGGGATAATCTTCGAGAAATGGATTCAAGAACGATAGGAATTACGGATGGATCTTTATTCTATCTTCGAATTCCCGAAGAGAGAGAATACTTGCTTTCGTGTCTCGAAAATTATATTTTAATAAAAGTAACGAGTTGATTGTTTTAATTGAAGTAGGAGAAAAATTGAACTAGAGAGACTTACTCTTGTTCTTGGATGGAATTGAGATCGTTTGAGAGCAATATGATAATAAATCTCGACTCATGACAGCTTGTTTATCCTAGAACACGTTATCACGAGTAAAGTCTATCGATGATCACAAGAAGGGGAGAAAAGATAGTAGTTTCTCAGAGCTTGCGCCAGTTAATTCGTTATTTATTTCCGCGATTCTCCCTATTCATTCCTTTGAATCCAACTTTTTACCAGGACGTTGCACACCGATTTTCCCCTGTTTTCCCGCGAGCGTGAACCGGGACTCGCATCGGCTCGCACCGCGTTCCTAGGAACGCGTCTATCGTCGACAATTATCGCAACCACCGACAGGTGGATGGGATTGCAACGCGGAAAGAGAAGGAGCGGAGGGGGGCAGAAAAAGAGTGGCGAGCATTTCCGTCAGACAGTTTCATTCTTTCCACCGTTCTTGTCTCGTCTCAATCCTTCAATATGCGAAATAATCCTCCAACTGGTGATTATTATCAAGTTTGATCGTGAAAACGAGACACGGTCCATTTTTCTCTTTTTTTCGTCGAATCTCTTTTTCGAAATTTTCCCCCTTTTCTATTTTTCGCTACGTTATCACGGATTTCACGATTTGTCGATTGTAGAGATCAGAAGACGTATATTTTTTAATTAGAAAAAAAAAAAAAAAAAAGAAAAAAAAAGACAGAATGGAACAAATGAAACATTACCTTTGTCGCGCTTGATGCGTCTGCAAATGGCGCACATGCGTCGCGCGCAGTGCTGCCTCTCGGACTTTTGCTCCGTGTCCAAGGTAACCATGATTGATGGATATTTTTGAATAAATAACCACTTTCTTCTCTCTTTATATGTGTAAATATATATATATATATATTTGTGTGTATTTATATTAATAAGCGCGCTTCGAAATTTCACTGAACAAGTTCTCCTGTCATTACGGATGGGAACGAATTGGGATCCCCCCCGTGTTTCCTTCAACTTAGCACTCTCACAAATTTCAAACAATCTCATGTACGAGGTGACACTCGACGGCGAGCACTATCATAGTTTCACGCATTATCACAGCTGATCTGATTTTCCGCACGGGCACTGACTAGATGATGGAAATCCTCTTCGTAACGACGCCGAAAATTCACACCGCTCCTGGCCACCATACGATGCTCGACGCCCCCAACAATTTGCGGATCCCTGCAACCATCGAATCTTAGAATTCGATACTCGACGTATCGAAGAATCTCTCGTCGCGAGAGAGAGAGAGAGAGAGAAATAATTCCTTTTCCCCTCCTTTTTCACTTTTTTCTTTTTCTCTCTCAAAGACCAGAAAAATTTACACCAAATTAAACTTCAAAGATAATCATCTTGACCGAGAGAAATATTATATGTATACATACATATATATATATATATATACACGGCCAATATTTTCTCGCGTGTAGCCCGCTCTTCGATTCGTCCGTTCGTTCCTCCTCGTTGCCTCCATTCGCTGGAATGTCCCTCCTCCTCCTCCTCCTCCTCCTCCCGTCCACTTTTATGAACACGGTTACATTTTTAACCACCGGCCCCTTAATTAATCGTCAACATTTAAACAATCGCCCGTTTGTGATATAACACTTTCTCTCTTGGCTCCCTTCTTGATTGCAAACCACGACGGCCCACGGTTTGAATTTCACGCGCGTTTTCTCCTCCTGCGCGCAGCACGTACACGGGAATTGATTTCACCTTTGTATATACACATATATATATATATATGTATATATCTCGTTAACCGCGTGCACAACCGTTGCGTTTCGCGCGATTCCCTCGACTAAAGCGGAGCCCGCTAATAACTACGCCTAATCGACGCGGGGATGACGAATCGCGTCGCGTAAGTAAGCTCGCTCACCGCGCGAACAATAAAATTGCGGTGAAACGATCAGGCTCCGCCCATGAGAACAGAAAATCACCACCTAATGATTTATACTTATACGATGCGCATACCTATACTGAAACACAACCACAGAATCGAAGCTGCTGATTGGAAACGGAGAGTTTTGTCCGAGAAAAATCTTTCACATATACACACGTATATACACGTACGTATTCACGATTTCGAATTCAAATTCGAGCGAAATTACGCAGGAAAAAAAATAGGAGGATTAGATTAGAGGAATCGGAAATTTCGGTCTCGTCATGAACCGTCCTTCCGATTCTCTGCTACCTCGGGTCCGAACGACTAATTAAGCTTAATTCAATTTAATTAATCCCCGATCTCTGGGCCATCTGTGGGGGGGGAGGGGAGAGGACAGCGAGCGGGCAATTAGCGGCGAGAGATCGGTCTCCTAATCGTATCAAATTAATAGAGTTCAGGGATCCTCCTCCTTGTTCTCGTTCGTTGTATCCGTCCGTTTCTTTTGGTTTCTTGCGTGGGCGGCGTTTCGCCGCTGCACGTCGCGAAATTACGGTGAATTATCGACGGCCGGTCGGAGGCGCTTCGTGGAACTTTCGAAAACGTGAGAGGTAAACACTTGCCCGGCGGCTACCCATTCAGAAAAATCGTGGTGAGTGAAAGCAACGCAAAAAAAAAAAAAAAAAAAAAAAAAGAAGAAAAAAGAAGGAAGGAAAAAGAAGAGAAAGAAAAGAAAAAATATCGATTCCATTCCATGCATAGAAAATGGAAGGTCTCCTCGTCGAGATTTCACGGTTTTCACGCGGTAGGATATCGCGTGGTAATTTTGTACGGGACGCGGTTTTTTTAAAGGACGGCTTTATCGAAGATTCTACGGTATAATTATCCGGTAGCCGGGGGTAGAACGTTACCATTAAGATCAAAAAAAAAAAGAAAAAAAAAAGGAAAAAAAAGGAGCGAAACCTGCCACCTTGAAGCATCGCGTTTATAGACGAGGTCCGACGACAATCAATTATCCTATATGGAAAACGTAAACAGTCCCTGCCTCGTAGGCGCTCGTGTAAGATGTTACGTGCTATTACCGACAAATCGATTTATCAGTCTCACGCATAATTAACACTTTATATTCGTCGTATTCAATGTCCCTACAATCAGAAACATAATCTCAACTATATGTACATATACACTTCGTATTTCTCGACGATTCTACTTCATTTCGAACATTGGCTCCCAAATTTGGAATCCGCCTTAATATATCGATATTACTAAAAAGTATATTCTTACGACATGCATCCAACTTCATAAAATCATTAAATGTATGGAATACAACAACCGTTACGTACGAATGAATATGCCTATTCTTAAATAACAGATAAACCAAAATCTCGATCTCGTTCGAAATTCACTGGGGACTCTACTATTCTGCAACTCATTAAATTTAATGCACCATCGAAAATACGATTACGTAACGAATTATTCCCCTTATTATTGCCCGCAACCGAAATCTTCTCTCTAAGAATATCTCGCCAACGATTGCCAACGATTCCTCGATTTCTTCCACGGATTTATTCGAAACAACGTGTAACGATTACATTTCTACGAATTATCACCATTACTGTGAAATTGAATTTCGATTTTTGAAAAGTCCATTTCGATCGATTCAAAAAAATTCCACCAATTTAATTTACATCATTCAAATATATATATATACTTTTTTAATTTAATTTGCGATCGATAGAAAAGCAGTCGCTCATCAATTGTCCATTTTCGATTCTCGTAAAATCGAGGAGGAGTGGAGTGAGGACCGGTGACTTGGATGCCCGCGAAAGCGATGCGCCACGCGGCGCGCAATCGCGACGAGTGGTTTCGCCACCGGGCGACGACGTCGCTTTTCGTCCTCGACAGGGCTTAATAACCATCATCGGGACGAGCATTAAAACGCGGCGTCCACGAGGAGGCTGGAAGCGGCAGTGAAAGTTGACAAAACACGGTGGAACGTCGGCTCGGCCGACGTGCGTACCACGACACCCACGTAACCACGTTTAATTAACACCGAAATTATCGAAGCTTGGGCCGCGATCGCGCGCGGATACGATCGTTCTCTCGCACTAAATAAGCGCCCACGTAATCACGCGACTCTCCCCACTCCCCTTCGATTATTATGTACATTTTTAATTATCTCGAGATCTTGGTCGCCCACCGAGGACGCGTATCTTCGTCCCCTTTATTGCAATTCGTTTCGCAATTTTTCGCAATATGTTGTTTCCAGCGCGATAACGTTACTTCGTTACGTTCTTAGGATTTTTTCTTAATGTTTAATCTTGATTTTCAATTCGATTAAGGTATGCAAAGTGGGAATAAGATCGTGTTTTTTTCACCAGAATTAAAAATACGGTATACGTGATAATCACTTGTATAAATAGTATGATCAACTCGATACTCTATTATATATATTTGAACTCAACTTTGCTTTCCTTTTTTGTAAACAGAAATATCTTTAAGACAGTTCAACGGTGAAAGAAACGCGATAAAGTGCAAGTATTCGATTTAATTTACTATCGGGAAGGAATTTGTGGAAAAAAATCAAGACGTCTAAAAGGATAATTGACGTTCAATCCTTCTAAAGTTCACGTCGTCGTGCACGAATTCGAACAATCGAGATATACCGCCCATTCCGCTCCAAAATTCCATCTCATTTGTATGTCAATGGTTTCGAAAGTTTCCCTCGATAATCCTGATGATTCTGATTTCAATTCGATCCCGCGTCTTCGAGATACGCGTTTCCTACGTTAATTGATACGTAACACCGGGTACCATCTCGTTTCCTCACCCTCAATTACCGCAATTTCCCCTCATATATATATATATATATATATATATATATACTTAGCGCAATCCGATTTCACGTTTCTCCCAATTCGCAACCGCTGTTTTATCCGTATTACCACGGTTTGCCCTACCATTAGGTGGCATTATCGCATTATCGCGACCGATTACGCAATCGCAATCAGTCCTACCGGATCACTGGTATCGCGGATCGAGATGCGCGTTTGCCACGTGATTACCGTAATCACTGTTATAAACTCGCGATGAAGGATCAAGAAAAGAAAAAAAAAAACGAGATCCTTGGCGTATACAGGGTGTTCCTAGATAGATACAAATACAAAAGTACGCGAAAATGGAGATAAATAAATAATTTACAATATATTATTATTCTCGATCTATCATTAGATCTTTGATTTCTTCCAAACGTGAATTTCAACGTGATCCTTGAACGTTGATGAGATATTATTTGCACGGTAGAGAAGAGAAAAAGTCAGTTCAACACGAGAATACAAATAAGATTGATATTTATATTAATTCTTTCGTTTTCAAAGTATCAAAATATTCCAAAGATCGAATATATGGAATGTATCCGAGCACCCTGTATATTCTCAATTCTCCACGAATCTTTCTTTCTCGATTCTCAACCTACTTATCACGGACATCGTTATTAACCGGCGGGAATTCGATCCGATGTTCATTAATCCCGCGACGCTTTTCTGCCGTTTTACAACGCCCCGCTTAATTAACCATGGCCAGGTTAATAGCGCAATTTGTTACTTTAACGACTTATCGAGTTACGAAATTAACACGCTGCCCACTCTTGTTTATCGAATCTTCTCCTTTGCCACTGTTCGCGCAATCGATGAGAGATAAAATGATACGAGTTGTAACAATTTTAGAAGTCGATATTTAACCTCAGAATTTTAATATAGATAGATTGGATAGGAAATATTTCGCTCGTTCGACGAAGAAACGATTGAATTTAATCAAAATTTTGCTCGAAATTATCGCGTATTTATATTCCAAATAGAAGCCATATCTCGATTATCCCCATATTCCAACCAAAATCAAATATTCGTCCAGCATACGAATAACTCGATTGATTAACAATATTTCGATATAACCTACATCCGTATATATATATATATTCTCTCACGGTACACAAGCACGTAGAAAAGTGTCGATGACGGTTTAAAAGGAGGGAGGGCGGCATTATCGAGGCGGATCACGGCCGATCCCTGATAAAAGCGGCTCGTCAGCCGAATTTCAGGAGAAAAAGTAAAGGGGGTTGCGAAAGAGAAATCGGCCGGCGGACCCTCCCGATGCCCGAGGAGAGGAATCGGTTGGCCCCTCCCACGAGGCTCCCTGGCGGCTGGCTGGGCTGCCTCGGCCTCGACACGCATTTCCAAAGACTCTTTTCGTCGTCACGGACCCATCAGCCGCCCCCCTCCCCCCGAGTAACCGTCGATTCTTATCTGATCGTGCCGATCCTCCCATGATCTTTCACTACGGCTCTCGCGCACGAATTTATTTCTCGCGGAGTGGACGACACACTCGGCTCCTCGATGGAGAACGGAACACGACGTTCCCGATCTCGCGCCCGATCCCTATGCGACGTGCGTTTCGATGTTATCGGGGCTGGCCGACAACTGACAATCAAGGGTTCACGATTTCACGAAACATTTTCGACTCGAGAGAGAAACGGGGCCCCCGACTCGATAACGATTCGACGACTCAATAATAATCGAATCCGGGGAGGGGGGGAAAGTCAACCGTCCTCGTATCGTTGGGAATAGGGGAATATACGTTGGAAGGATATAATTTTGCAAGGCTTGACTTTGACGCGAGCCGCGTCCTGTCAACGAGATATAACAGGCATTAACCGGTGAAAGTGGCGTGTACCGCTAAACCAAAATGTCCACCGTCTTCAACGGGGACTAGCACGCAGTTTGAAACGAAACCGGATCCCGTTCCCAGTGAATATTCGACTCATTAAGGCACAGTGACAGCTCCTTCGTCCACGCGAGAGAAATAAGTTTATGAACCCGATATCGATTCGCTCAAGGGCCTTCTCTCCCCTCCCTCGATTTTTTTTGTTTACTCTAATATCTCGACATTCGAACGCAACGTGCCTCTATAATATATTATTTCTCCATTACTCATCATTTTTATTTTTTTTCGAAGTTGAACGCGTGAAATATTCATTCTTGGTTATTTATAGTTATCCACCGCTTCCGATTTTAAAAGATCCAACGGACGCTTGCTTACTTTTTCTTTATAAGGAATAGCAAATCCTTAATCTTCAAAAGTCTGCATGCAAGAAGAGTTGCATCGAATGGCACGAGATCCCAGTCAATTAAAGGAGCCGCGTTACCCCTCGTCGGCGAAGGATTAAAAGTTCCTCCTCTCCCTCGCCGATCGAAGGCGAGTAAGACGATCGGAAAGGAAGAGAGAAGAATTATTAACGAAATATTAATTTGAATATCCGGGGTCACACAGTTGATTTAATTTGGTTGGAATCGGTTGATAAGACGTAACCACGTGTCCTCGGCATCGCGAGGTTATTTATCGAGCCGCCTTCCGCCGCATCGCCATAAATTTCTGCCCGGCCAGATCGTTAGCGGCGCCGATTTGTTCGACGAGATGACGGCTGCCCCCCTCCCCCCTCGATCCGACGATCGAAAATAGCAAAGCTCATTTCGCGAGCGTAGATTATCGCGTAGGCTCGACGAAAGGATTGGTGCAAACATTGTCGCCTTTCCGACGAGGTGGACGACGAGGACCTCGAGTCCAATCCCTCACCGTCGCGTAAAATCCACTTAACCGAAACCCACGTAGTAACCGAAACGTAAGGCGAGAAAAACGAGAGTCCCTTTCCTTCTTCTTCTCCTTTTCTCCTTTCCTTCTTTCTCCTCTCCTTTCTTTTTTCCTCTCCTCGAGGAGGATACCTCTCCTCCTCCCTCCTCGAGGGGGCATTGCAAGGAAGCGGACACCGGAGGTGGAGCGAGAGAACGAAAGTAATAATCTAAAGAGCCCTTCGATTATTGCGTCGTTAGAAGGAAGATACGTGACAATGTTGTACTCCTTGTACTCTAACAAGAGCGATTTTTCAAACGGAGAAGGGCATACTCGTACAGGCTGGATGGTTTGTCGAGATTTCCAGCACAGATGTCTGCATACGTCACTGACGGGATTATTACTTATTCGTTCCGTAAGTATTTCTTCATCACGCGCATAGACGAGTTTATCATCCCCTCCCCCCCTAAATATTCACTTCTCGAACGGAGTTGCACAGGCACGACGACGGCAGAAAAACTGGCGCGGAGGCACAAAGGAGGACGAGCGGGGAAGAGCGGGCTATCCGAGATAACGACAGGATGCGCACCATTCAATTTCATCCGCGAGGAGCAGGCGGAGCGTCGGCGGTCGAGCAGGAGCATGTTAGGCGAGGCACACCTCGTACCACACCGTTCTTCTGATCGACACACACATACACACACACACTATCGACAAGCACAAGTCACAAGTCACAACTTCACCACCGTCGAAATTCTCGTCGTACTTCTTTCTTATTTTTATCCCTCCACGAAAACACCACGATCACGGAGTACGTAAATATGTATATATATATATACCAAGCACAAAAGAAACACTCGTGCTCCTCGTGGCAATCCTGTGCTCTGACAAACTCTCTTTCCCTCTCTTTTTTCTTTTTTTTTCCCCTACTCGGGCCACCAGAAGTGGAAAAAAACTCCCCTTCTCTCCTCGGGTCGAACACCCTACAGCGTATATCGTGACACGGCGCGGCACGTTCGGGGTTGACCGTTCGGGGTTCGCGCACTATAAATACCGCACAACACCGAGGGTCGGTCGCGCGCACGTGGCGGAGAAGAGTTGGCTCGAAGGCTCGAGGCTCGAGGCTCGAGGCGAACAGCAACGCGGCCGTTCCCAGCGTTTGGTGGAATCGGTCGGAGGCGGGGGTGGCGGATATATCGATGGACGGATCGATCGATGGATCGATGGATCGATCGGTCGGCCGGTGGTTCGATGCGGTGTCGCGCGGCGCGGCGCGTCGTGTCGCGGCACGACACGCGATAGAAATGGGGAAAAAGGGAGAGAGCGAGAGAAAGAACGGGCGACGTGCACGGGCGGCGACGGAGAGAGGGAGGCAAAAAGGGGAGAGAGTGGGAGGGAGGGAGAGAGGGAGGGAGGGAGAGAGAAAGAGAGAGAGAGAGGGAGAGAGAGAGAGAGAAGGAGAGGCGGAGAGAAAAAGAGAAAGAGAGAGAGAGAGAGAGAGAGAGAGAGAGAGAGAGAGGGAGGGAGAAAGCACGCGCTTCCTGGGAGAGAGAGTGCGATCTGCGCCCGGTCTCTCGGCTCGTCTCTGACTGGTGTTGTGTGCGCCGCTCACGAGAGAGCACAGCCTGTGCGCTGCGTGCTGGTACACGGCCTGGGGGCCACGTGACACGGTCCCCTGCAGGAGGTAGGACCGCTTCGTCGCCCAACGTCCCTACCCCACCGTTCCCCGTTGTATGCGTCGGCGCGCGTGTTTATGCGATTTGCGCGCCAGTGTGGAGCGCGCGTGTGGGCCGCATTACGACCGCTGGCCCGTGACACCGAGCCCACGGCGGAGGGAGAGGCTCCTCTCCGGCTCCCTCTCGCTTCCCACCAACGAAACGCGAAACCTTAGCGCGCGTATTCGTGGCCGACAACATCCGATCGAACCGTACGAACGCGATCTTCCGAGTCGAAAATCCGACCGAATGCGACGAGCGAGACAAACGAGACGAGCGAGAAAAGATCCTCAAAGAGGATCTTTGAGGAGGTCGAAGGAGAAGGAGGGGAGGGAAGATTTCGGTGCGGAGGAATATAGAGAGAGAGAGAGAGAGAGAGAGAGAGAGCCACTGTCGTGGCATCCTGCGCAGCGAGTGCAAAACGATGCAGAGGCGGGTCGAGGGGAATCGTCGAGGACTGCTCCGCGGCGCGGTGGTGGGGGTAGCGAGGGCCTGTTGGTGGGGGGAGGGGGCAGCATCGAGTGGGAGGACTGGGCCCGCGGGCCCCGTTCCTCGTCGCGCAGGGGTGGGGGGCGCCCGGTCTGTCCTTCTTCCACTCGCTCGGTGGCCTTTTTCTCCGCCGTCGAGGCGGCGGGAGGGGAGGGGGGGGGGGGGGAAGGGAGGGCACGGTGGATGAAGGTAGGGGTGGGGCGGCCTACGACCCCGCCAGGCGCGTGCCCCGAGTCAGCTCGTATATACTCTACCGCGCACGATTGATAACGAGCCGTGGCGTACCGCGGTGGTTTACTGCCGCGAATTTTTCGGCTGACCGACCGAATCACCGGCCCCTAACTCATTTCCGCGCGCACGTTCTCCTCCGCAGCGAGAGCGAGAGAACCCTTCGAAAATCGGCAGGACCTCGCACGACGACCGAACAATCGCTCTCGCGTGAAAGAAAAGGCAGGGGCGACTCGTCGTCGAGATCGCGGGCAATTTCGTGAAAAAAAATTATTTAGAATAAAATTTTGAACGAGTACGATGATTTATTCGCCGATGAATTCGATTTCGTATCGAATCTCTCGTTACCTCGATCCGTCCGTCGAATGCGGATCTTTTATTTGTACGATAAAAAACGAATGTTGTCGGGAATGAAATGAATCAGTTTCGCGTGCAGTTTCAGTAGTTGCCGAGCCAATCTATTTTCCGCGCGGCGTATAATACCGCGGAACAGGCCTCTCGTCGAAATATATCCCGTCCCATCTTTGCGCGGGAAGCGCATCGGTTTCAGAGAGACCGGGTCCGTTTCACAGCCGCGATATCGTAGCTTTCTCGACGGTGGAATAGATGAGACAGCCGAGGGGTCGAGACGAGAGCCAGGCTCGATGCTTTGGTGGTTTACGAATATCTGGGAAAAGATGACGGAACGAGGACTGGTGCTGCATCGCGCACCAGCGTATTTATAGAATAAACGAACGAAGAGGATCGTAAGCTAATGGCCGCATAAATAGCGCATCTTTCTCGAGAGGCGGCCGCGACTTTTTAACCGGAAGGAAAGCTCTCTTTCTCTCTCTCTCTCTCTCTCTCTCTTTCTCTCTCTATCTCTCTTTCTCTCTCTCTTCGAGTTTTTAAAAGCGGCTCGTAAACGAGATTCATAAATCCAGGCCCTCGTTCAACAAGGCGCGGGCCGGTGTCGCGGCGAGTGTCGCGAAGAAACCGATTATCCGGCGTTGAACACGAGCTGTAAAAAAGTTACACGAAGGGCGAAGGGAACAAGGCGCGTGATAGGATTACCCGATGGATGGGCCGGGGAGGGAGGAGCCGAAAACCCGAGGAAGTACAGACTTCCGCGAAACGCCGATGGAATTTTAAACGATCATATGTTCCCCTCGAATCCTGGCCAAAGTTCTGTCAAACTCTAGATACCTTTAAACTTTTTGTATTTTTAGACAAAAGTTATTATTAGTATTATTATTACTTATATTCAATTTTTCCCTTTTTCGATCGACTGAGAAAAACGATCATACGTTTCCCTCGAATTCTGGCCAAAGCTCTGNGGGGAGGGAGGAGCCGAAAACCCGAGGAAGTACAGACTTCCGCGAAACGCCGATGGAATTTTAAACGATCATATGTTCCCCTCGAATCCTGGCCAAAGTTCTGTCAAACTCTAGATACCTTTAAACTTTTTGTATTTTTAGACAAAAGTTATTATTAGTATTATTATTACTTATATTCAATTTTCCCTTTTTCGATCGATTGAGAAAAACGATCATATGTTCCTCTCGAATCCTGGTCAAAATTCTGTCAAGCTCTAGATATCTTTAAACTTTTTGTATTTTTAGACAAAAGTTATTATTAATATTATTATTACTTATATTCAATTTTCCCTTTTTCGATCGACTGAGAAAAACGATCATATGTTCCTGTCGAATCCTGGTCAAAATTCTGTCAAGCTTTAGATACCTTTAAACTTTTTGTATTTTTAGACAAAAGTTATTCTTATTAGTATTGTTATTAATTATATTCAATTTTCCCTTTTTCGATCGATTAAGAAAAACGATCATACGTTTCCCTCGAATTCTGGCCAAAGCTCTGTCAAGCAAAAGATAAATTTTAAACTTTAAACTTTTTGTATTTTTAGACAAAAGTTATTCTTATTAATATTGTTATTAATTATATTCAATTTTTCCTTTTTCAACAATCTCTCCTACGTGGAAAAGCATTTTACCTAGTTATTACAAAAAGAAGAAGAACCTATGAACGTGTCCATAGCATAATTCGCAATATTGTCGAAAACAAGAAAAGTGGCTATCCAATTACACGCGCAAGGGTTAGATTCGAGGGATAGTCGTACAGAACAAAGATCGTAACAAGGGCCCGTTTATTATACTTTTCTCGAACGATCGGGAAGATAATTATCAGACGCGATATCCGAGGAGAAGGGGGCCCGATCGTTTGACCGGAAGTGAACTCGCCCACGCGACCGATTCGTCCGTGATAAGTTGGCGCCGCGGGGTGGGGGCCCGCCAGATACCCGTGGCGTGCTCGTCGCCGATCGGGTCACCTCTCTCGCCCACCGTTTCTGTGTTTTGTAAATCGAAAAGTCGATTTCGGAATTGCTCGCTACCGCCCACGTTGGCCTCGCGTTTTCGAACGGTTACCGAAACAACGTCCGGCTTCGCCTACGTCCGGCCAGAAGGGCGTCATCCAAACTTCTGAATTCTGATCTCATAAAGTTGTTCAAAGAATGTGATGGTTGGCCCCCGGCAACGAGGGGGGACTGTCTATTGAAGAAACGTAAGTTGGAACATCACCAGAGAAGAATTAACGAGAAACACTTGTTGTGTTTAGACAATGTAGAATGTAGAAAATATAAATAAGAAGAACAGTAATTACTTAAAATATCAACTCGTTAAGTATCAAAAAATGGAAAAATGGAGAAGAGAATAAGAGAATAAAATTGCATTCCGAAACGTGTTTCATTTAGCCATCGATAAAGCCTACGATTTTAAGAATTAAATTTTCGTCGCGATTATGAAGATCTTCCTTAAACCTGAGACGATTAAAGAAACAAAAAAATAAAAAAATGGAATATAATACGTGTCAGGCGATGATAACTCTCGCGTTCTCGAGCGAAAACAAGCGTGAAGTCGAAAGAAGGCCCGCGAAAAGGCAGGCCAAAAAGTCGATCTTATTGACAGTCGGTTGTTCGTCGCGGTGGATTAAGGAAACAGGGCTTAGAGGGAGAGATCCTTGCAGACGATCTCGTTGACAAATCGTTCCGATTGTCGTGTCTCTTATCCGCTTATTACACCCAGACCGTGGGACTGATCGATGCAACGACACGGTTAACGTCTAACGAGCCGCCTCCCCCTCCCTACATTCTCGTTCTGGCTGCTCCGATAATCCGAACTCGAATCGAATATTAAGTCCGACCTGTTGAAAATCCGATGACACCTCGAGAACTGGAGCGATTCGAACTCGAGGATGGATCGTGGCCGAGTTGTGTGCATCGAACAAAAAACCTCATCAGAGATAATAAAGTGAATAAGGTCGTTGTTCGAACAAAGAAAATACAAGTTAGATTAGGAAGAGGAGATCGAAGAATAAGCAAGGAAATCTCTTCTTAATGCAACAATGAGACGAAAACTAAAGAGAAGCCAAAGAAATCTTAACAATTAATTAAAAACTCTGGTACTGGTACGTTTAGTATCGTTAATTAAAACGATGCTTACGTAACACGAGAAAATGGGAATCAAGTATTCAACGTATAAAGAATTAATCCACTTTATGATACGATTTATATTTATTCGACTACATAATAACCATATAAACTATCGAAATTAATC